GGGGGGGGGGGGGAGAGAGAGAGAGAGAGAGGAAGTCCGAGTTGAAATTTTGGTGAAATGTGGAACCTTTAATTGTACAACATAGTAGGAGCTGAGATAATATAATAAAACCCCTATTTTGATGATGTCTTAAATCTCCGTTTTCGCTCCGTTTCAGCGTTAAAATAGAACGATGAAGGTAGCGTTAAAATTCAATCTGTAGAATTAAGGGTCCAAAGGGGAAGTTACAAAGTATCAGTATCGTCAAAGTGGGTTTCTATTAGTCTATAGACCGTCTAAATAGGCGCAAATTATCCTTGAGAACGTCAGAGTAGCATCAAAATTCCGACTCGGGAGAGAAACAAGAAATAAAGAAGGAGGAAGAGAGAGAGAGAGACGAAATGATTCAACAGAGATGATATCATCTCGCCTCGTATTTATTTCTCAGCGAGCGAGTAAGGTTTCAACCTCGTCGGCGGCTGTGTTGACGAGGGAAGGTGCGCTGCTTAAGATTAGCGGGAGGGGTGGGCGTGTGGAAACGACGAAACCGCCGGCGTGCGTGGCCCGGCATCGGTGAGCAACCGGTTCGACTTTATGACTGCGTAATAATTAAAAGTGCTACTTTATCGCGCTACAAATGTATAGTTATGGCGAAGCGGCGGAAACGCGGAGCCGGCGATAATAGTACTTTACCGGTGACCGGTTATTCACTGGAGCGTACACTCTATATACCGCAGATATCTGATAAGGTTCTGCGCAGGTTCTTACTGGCGTGTTCGCGCGTACTCGCGGATATTACGCGCGCGCGAATTCGCCGGGACTCTCAATCGGGTAAATAACATCGCGCGTCGCGTGGCGCGTTCAGCTGAATCACACGGAATATATTAGAATGAAAAATTCCAGGCTTTTCTTGCCTGGAAGAACGCCCCGCGCGTGCATATTCATAAGTTCGCAGCGAAGGCGAGCGCCGCGGAGGTGCGGCGTGTGTGATGCGTGTGCAACGCTTCTGCGGGTGCGCGAGCGACGTTATCTAACTCGGAAGACACATCTTGAGATAGAGAGAGCCAGCCGGCGAGAAATTACGAATTGCTACGTAGCTGTAAATTCGATGGCGACGTAATCGTTAACTCGTAGCCGGTACTTCTTGCCGATACCGCGCGAGTACCGCTACGTAGAACTGATCTGCCATGTGCGAGGGTGAGAGAGGGGGAGAATCGACGGATAAAAAATCGATATATTTCATATGGATTTATAAAGCCGCTTCTCTCGCGTTGCCGCGACCAGTATCCTCCGTACAGAACAGAAGCTGCGTTACTCGCCGGTCAGGTTGCGCGCACTCGTATTTGTAATCGAGAATGGTCTTCTCTCTCTCGCACACACCGGAAAGAATAGATTTATATTAATAGATTTCTCAACGGTACATAATTATGATATAATATTTCCTGGTAGAATAGAAAAACACTTTGCAATTTAAATTAGCAATTTAAAAGATATTCTTCGTATATAAGGAAGAATATATAATGTTATATAGGAGGATGAAACTTGCTCACGTGAGGAAATTCTATATAGTTCCATTAAAGGCATATTATTGTTATTCAAGAATAGTTTTCGTGGATTGAGGAGGAAAAATATCGGATAGAGGAAGAACGATATCCTCGAGCGAATTTTATCAGTTCGAAGACGTCAAATTTTCTCTATATCCAGTATTTTTCTTCTCAATTAAATATTTCAATTCTTCTCGAGATAATCATTAAGCACTTTACACTCCCTACAGTCAATCATTTTAAGCAGGTCGTAATATACGATTGCGCTACTTACTGTGTTGAGAGATCGATTCAATTCACGAGGGTTTCGTTGATATTAACAATAAAAAAAAAAAACTGAAATCACAACACAATCCTAACATAACATAAAGGCATATAAGAGAGTAGTTGCGAATAAATTACTCCAGATCTTGCTATTTTTTCTGACTTCTGCGGCGTGAATCTCCGCGCGACGCAAATACACCGGAGTCACCCTATCCTTGCTTACGTATGTACGAAAATATGAGTCTTGAATCGATACTGCTCTTTTCTCGTGCACTCGGCGAAGATATTGTAGTAAAAATTACCGCAAAATATTTCGTAATGCTGGACCGTGTCGAAATTATGATTGGAATTTTATTACGTGTGTTGTAATTTTTAGCGAAGTGAAACACATCACCAAAGATTACAAGACACATCATTATTCCAGTTATGATCCCTATTATGGTCCCAGCATACGCCGAATCTCGTGGTTATTTCGACCGCGATATTTTCTCCCCGTACGCGATGCAGAGCCGAGCGAATATTACGTAACAGTTTCAGGTGGGCCGCGATTTCGCTGATTTCAACCCCTCCCCCTGCTACGCTTTTTCGAGAAATCGCTTTATAATCACACAACCTCGACCGGACTCGGTCGTGTTCAGCGGTGAGCCTCGACGAAGAATCGCGAATAGTCGAGGGACCGTTTCTCGGAGGGGAGGAATCCGTTCGAGGGTGGTGTAATTAGGAAACAACGACTTCGGCGTGACGGATCTTACCTGGCCCTGTCTCTCATCCTATCCAATGTGCATGCCTACCTGTCGATCGCACTCTAAGCAAGCGAAATGGCGCATGTGCCATGCCCTGCCTTCGGCCTCGGTGCACTCGTCGGCGAGAATGATCTCGTCGCAGGCGCAGCAGCGCGGCTTCAACGTTTCGGCGTGGTGACGGCCGCAGTACAATCGGCCGTCTCTCCAGAAGTATATCAGATCGACCAACAATTGCCGGCAGACGCAGCAGACGAAGCATGCGGGATGCCAGAGCGCGGCCGGTCCGGCGCGGCTCGCAGCGACGGCCATCTCGCCCGCCGCTACGGGTCGGCCGCACTCCCGACAGCCCGCGCCGTGCGGCCGCTCGAGCTGGCTCGCGTGCCCGCGGCCCAATGCCTCGCGTTTCCGCTGCGCGGCGAAAACCCGCAGCTCGCGCTTCTCCTCCTCGGTCAGGCCGCTGCAATACCGCGCCTCGTTGTCGTGCGGCGGCAGTTGCTGCAACAGCTGCTTCACCCGTTCCCGCTCGCCCGCGCTACCCGCGTACGGAATTTTGTCCTCAGGTAGCGCGCTGAAGTACAGGTGCACCTGTCGAAAGGCATAAACGCGGGATTAGGTGAAAAGTATATAGGAATGCTTCGACAGTTAGCCGCATCGTCGGCCGGATACGAGATGACGCCTGAATTTCTGCGGGGGGGCCCCATTCGGGGACTCGTTTGCGGATGACGGTGTTGTTTGCCTGATTAGGAATTACCTCGCCAAGTGTTTCGGAGAACACCTCGAACGGGAAACAATGCAACGTGTCATCAACACGTTCGCCACACGTGTCGTAGCGTCACACGTGTATGATACATTATGTAAAAAAACTCAATTTGCCTACTTAATCTTTGCGGACCGGGAAGCCACTATAGCGGCGCGGCAGGGGTGTCACGTTTTTCACTAGTCTAGTCTTTGATGTATATGGAAAAGTTCTAATTTAAAAACTGTCAGAGTAGCCCGGTCTGTAAGAGCTAATAAATTTTATATGTGCACGCATGAATGCATTTATATTAAGTATAGCTGCAGAGTAGAGAAACGGCCCACTGAACTTTTGTATTACTTTAAGAAAAGTATGTATGTCAGCGTATTTATTTAGTGATAAGGTGAATGTGTTAATTTAACGTGATATTTGTGCACTGAGAAAAAGATTTCTTCGAATCCAACAAATTTTATTGCATCCAAACAAATTCCGTCATTGGCATGCTCCAAAGAAACTAACGCTTCGATTAATAACGTACGATTGTTAGACTTGCCGACGAATATGTATCTTTATCTTAAATAAAAAATTTGTCCGAAACGAAAGGTAATATTCTTACAAAGAAATTATTTGTTTCATTTTACATATTTATTGTATAACCAAATAATATTTTATCTGGCTAAAAGATATTATTTCAAATAATAGCGTTCCTTCTGTTAAATAGTAGTTTTCTTGAATGGGACAATACAATTTTTACTCAAACTAATAATATTTCGTATATGTTGTTTTTATGAAACAAATTTTAGTCAAATAGAAATCCTAAATCTAAAGAAACCTTTTTCTCAGCGTATGTTTTTTAATACATTCTCCCATATTAAAGTAACATAAAATTTCAGCGAGCCGATTTTAACACAACATTTACTGTGTACTGAAAATATAGCGTGGGTTACAGCAAGCCTCTTTTTACAGTTTTTCTAAGCACGGTAGCGAAAGTATTAACATGACACACCCAGAATTTGAACCCGATGAGATTCACACGTGAATTCAACGTGTGTCGGTTAATGTGTATTAAGAATAAAATATTTACAAAACTATATATCAGTCAAAAAGAACATATATGTTCGGTCTTGATGAGAATAAACAATCACGTGTACGGAAGAGCACTGATGATAGCGGCGTGAGTCACGCGAATAGGAATATGAGATGATGAGAGAACAGTTGCAACGTCGAGTCGTGGTTATTTCGCGTCAGAAGCGGCATTGAAGTGTTTATTGTATTTTAAATACGATAATACTCTAGCTTTCACTCTCTCTCTCTCTCTCTCTAGCTTTCTGACCGAAGTGTTGGTGCGTGTATTCACAAGTTGATCAATACGAATGCCCCAAAAGTCAAATGCTTCCTTTCTATTTAGTCAGAGTTTCGACCGAGAAGAGACCTTGTCGACGATTTTCGATTTAGCACGAACCGTCTTAACTGAAACTTCTAATTTTTACGTTCCTAAGTGTTCACTTGGATCGTCAGAGACAGAAACTGCGTTCTCGGATACTCACTTGCACTTTTTCACCTCCTTGACCCTTTCTCTAAACATACTTATCGGTCATAAATAATACAAATGTCTCATAAGAAACATAAATACGCACAGGAGTCAAAATAACGCGTACTATCGTCGTGCTAAAACTCTAACGGCTGCCTCCGCTAAAAATCAAATATAAATTGAAACTACAAGTAGAGATATAACGATTATAAATTGAAATTATAATGAGTACGAAGAAGCGTGGCGCTAACTCACGATGCTCGTGACGTTTCGATGAATATAAAATCCGTGTGGAAGAGCAGAACCTCGCGACCGGTTAAGTATGAAAATTTAGTTATTAATCAGAATCTTTCGAAAAAGGACGTCACCAAGTTCGAGGTATCGACAGGCTCGGAAACGGCGTGTTTCGTACACCCAGCTTCATAAATTAAGCTCCGAGGGAGCGGAAAGTCGGTCTTTAATTAGCTTTGAATAATTGAAGGTACACTCGACGTCGAATGTAAAGACGCACTTATTAAATTATCGAATGTCGTATAACGTATTGAGATGTGCGGAGTCATACATGTGGATCGCGCTTAAAAAGCGTTCGGAATTCGCTTACGCGCGCAGAAGAAGAATTATCACCCAAGGCCGGTTCGTGCGCGCATGCATCAACGTCGATTATCTCCAACCGATAGTTTAACTGATTCCCCGCCTCCCCCCAACCCCTCCCCGTCCTTTTCCAGATCGCAGCGTCGCGAATGATATCGGCGGAGGCGAAGGATAGTGTCAACTCTCGCCATAGCTGACATTAACCGATGGTCGTTGAAGTCCGCCCCTAACCGTCGCGAAATTAGATAAGTATCAGGACAGGCACTGTCAACATACCGTAGAAACGGGTCTCGTAAGAAAGCACTGATATATGCGTTTATGCTACTGCAGCGCCTGCAAGCACCGGGGCTCGGCGATAGAGAAAATAAGGAAGGCACGATAAAAGTATGCAGTTTTACCGCCGTACGTGTTTTACCGCCGACCGCTCGACCAGCTCGTCCCATCTTCGACAACCGTCGACGGCGCGAGCGTTTCCATGAGAATAAGCGCGGAGAGTGAAACCGCGCGCCGTTCGCCGGCTCTCAATATTCGTTGGAATTTGCGCATAATCGAGTTTCTACATAATCTAGCGGTAAATTTCTCCACCAGCCCGCGTCGGTTTATGAGTAGTGACGGCTGATGCGCCGTGCGAGGTATCGACCACTTGGCGCCTCGGTGTGTATGAACGTTCGCACGTCCCTCTGTCGTTTCTCTCTCTCTCTCTCTCTCTCTCTCTCGCTTCATTTGTTTTTCTTGAGCCAACCGCCGTGTGGCGGAAGTGACGACTTCCTCGGGAAAGTTGTCGACTGCACAATTAATCATTTCAAACATAACAACGATGTTATTTCAGACGTTACCGCGCAGAGAAGAAAAATTTCTTTGCATTTGGTAAAATTTCTTAACTTAATTTCGTAATTTAAGGTTCCGGTTCGGTAGTCGCCCTGACTGTCCTTGTTTAACCCTTTCGGTACATTTGACGAGTGAGACTCGTCATCCGCTTACTTGGGCATAAAATGTATTACTTTTACATATTAATCCATATAGCGACAAATTAAATCCGTCCCATGGGCATAAAAATCTTAAAATAATTCAGTGCTCAAAGGGTTAACGACGTCAGAAGCGGGAAAACGCATGCCAAGATTGTTGACACACTGAGAAAAAGATTTCTTCAAATTTAATACATTTTATCGCATCCGGACAACTTTCATCGTTGGCGTGCTCCAAAGAAACGAAGGTTTCCATTAATAACGCACGATTGTTCGATTTCCCAACGAATACGTGTCTTTATCTTGAATAAAAAAATTTGCCCGAAATGAAAGATAATTTTCTTATAAAGAAATTATTCATTTTACATATTTATTGTGACCAAATAATATTTTATTTGGCTAAAAGATATTATTTCAAATAATAGCCTTCCTTCTGTTGAATAATCGAGTTTTCTTGAACGAACAATAAAATTTTTACTCAAACGAATAATATTTCGTACAAGTACATGTCGTTTCTATGAAACAAATTTTTAAGTCAAATAAATAAGTACTGTGTTATTCTCTGTGAAACATGGGAACGTTCTCTTCGTGGATAAAAATGTCGAGGAGCCAATAATGGTTCCCGAATATCACGTGGGATTAAATCACGGATCTTTTCATGTCGGGGATTAGCTCGCGGGTCTTTTCATTTCGAGATTAGCTCCGAAGTAAGTATCGACTCCGGAGTAGGTATCGATAACTCTTGGTTCGCGCGTAACGGCGCATCGTATCGCTTCGAGGACTATCGTTCCGCAGGAGTGAAGATTGATGCGAGAAAGAACTGTCGCGCCTCGGAGATCGGCTACCACGCGAGGTCTTCGCACGAAGACGCGAATTGACGCCACCACACGCGCGAGGCACAAGCGCGGAAAGCTTGTTGCGCGGGATTAGCGTCCCCTCGGAGAACGCCGAGTCATAATATATAATGCGCGTTAGACGTAATGACACTTAAAATGAGTAAAGAAAACGCGGGCCCACGGGACAGGCTGCGCGGATGGGACGCGAAAGCGGGAAATAAAGGAGAGAAGAAGATAGATAGAGGGAGAGAGACAGACGGACAGAGAGAGGAGAGAGGCGGATTTGCGCAGCTCGAGTCGAAATGAATGACGACGTTCGTGCTCGGCGCAAAGGCCGAAGACTCTATTCCGCGGCGTGCCAATGTAAGATGCCGCGCGTTCAAACCAATTAAAGGGCAAAGGCTGCGTTAGTTAGCCCTTTCGGTGAGGATAATTCCAACAGCGCGTCGAGCGCGTTTACCGCGATTGTGTATATCGCCGTATTTAATTTAATTTAATGATTTCCACTCGGGACGTTCCGCGCGAAGAATGTCGCCGAATGAATGCCTCTTCGAGAAAGCATCGGAGAACAGACCGAGAGGGAATGTTCTTTCTCTCTTTCTCTCTCTCTCCAGAATAAAGAGAGTCAGACTATGAGAGAGTAGAGGGTATCGGAGAGCGCATAATTATAATAATATATTTCACGATATAAGATTCATTTGTCGAGAAAAATAGAGAGAGAGAGAGAGAGAGAGAGAATGAGAGGGGGAGGGGGGAGGAAGAAGACACGCAGGGAAGACGGTGAAATGCATCGTGTGTGTTTCTCTAGGTCCTTTTTCGGGTGAACTCCTCGATTACGCTTTATCATCGTACCCAGCTTGACAGAGAGAAAGAGAGAGCTTTCACCGGCGTATGATGACTCACTGCGCCGTCGTCGTTCACGACGGTAATCGTCGCGGCGATCTGGGAGCCAGCTCGCCGGTTGCTGGTACATACCCGGCGAGACGAATCGGCGAGCATTACGTGCGTGCGCGTAAAAAGGACCCCGTTTCTGCCTGCCTCCCACTCCCTCTTTCCCCCCCTCAATCTCTCTCTCTCTCTCTCTCTCTCTGTCTCCCTTTTGCTTTCTTTCTGTCTTTCTTCCTCACCTGGTCGGGCCTGAGTCCGGGCGGCACCCAGGTATATTCCTCGAGCGCGCACCCGCTGTCGTCGTCGCTCTGCGAATGCCTCTGGTGGTGCATCAGGGCCTCCTGCAGCGCCAGGCCGGCCGGGGCAGCTTGCACCGGGCTCTTGAACGGCTCCTGGTGAGGCGCGCCGCCGGCGCCGCTCGGGAACGCCATGGCCATCGCCATCGGCGGGCCCGGGCCCAGGCCGAGTCCCGAGGGACCTCCCGCCTCGGTCGAAGTCCGCTGGTGCTCCTCCCGCGGGCACCTGCAGCTCCTGCACACCTTCCTGCGGGGAGCAACGTTCGTGAGGACGTTATGAGAATCACAGTTTCCGAGTTCTTCGTCTGATTAATGTCTGGATCCTTCTTAATCACGGTTGTCGCGTCACACGGAGAAAACACGTCTTGCCGGAACGGCAAATTGTTTGTTAATAATATAGTGAGAGCAAAGAAGACATTGTTATATGGGAGAAATAATTTTGCTACTGCAGCAAAAGGTCGTTGCGACAGCAACAAAACTTTATTGGCGCAACTATACGATTTTGCTGTCCATATATCCAGCGAATAGCAATTAATACTCTTAACAAATCTTCCTGCTGTCCAAACAACTTTTTTTTTTTGCTGTCACTATATTAACAAACAATTTGCCGCTCCAGCGAAATTTTTTTCTCCGTGCATTTTCAATGCACATTGCGCCCTCGTCGTGTTAGAACCCTAGGACCCTCCCCCCCCCTCCCCCAAGAGTCGGGAGATATTTATATAAGGTGCACTGAAAAAAGAATTTGGTATACGAAAACATTTAGTTAACCGGAAAGTGTTTAACTAAATGCTTAGTAAGCGCTAGCAAATCCTTCTTTCAGTGTGCGTGTGTGTACTTTCTCGGTCCACGAGAAAGCCATTCCTTACCGGAATTATCGTGTATCATTACCGAGGAAACGGTGATTAGTAGACCAATCGTTATCCCGTCTGTGCGTTGCGATAAATCAGCCGTTTCAGCTTGGAAATTAGGACGTGGAATATGTGCAGCGTGATAAATCTTTGCGACTGTTGTATTATATGCGCGCGAAACACGCTACCACGATCTTTTGATACTTCGTCGAGGTGGCAAGAAAAACAGATTTTAATGTCTAAGCGAGAATCACGTGATCGGGCGGCCCTCGGTGATCGGGAGATGCTTACGTAAGATATTATTTTTTTTTTTGGTTCACGAGAAAGCTATTCTCACTGGTATTATCGTGTGTACGAGAAAACGGTGACCAATGTAGACCAATCGTTATCGCGTGTGTTGCGATAAATAAAGCCACCCCAGCTTGGAAATTAGAATGTGAAATGTGGAACATGTTCAATATGCATGTTCTATGCTTTGTCCGGCTTGTAGAACCAGATATAAAACGAAAGAGAGCCTTCACGGGTGGTGGATCCTCTCGGAGGATCGCGTGATTGATTCCCCGGTCGGTATTTTTTCCTAATTACAGGCTTGCTCGTGGAAATCTATCTATCTCACGAAATATTTCCGCGTGCATGCAGCGTGCGTCCCGCGTGCGCGGAGGAGAAAACTGGGCGTAATAACGAGAAAAAGAGAGAGAGAAAGATAAAACAGGACGCGTAACTAAATGGAATAAATAACAAGTCGCTACACACACCCGATATCACGCCTTCTCTCCTCGCTTCGGTAATTCGGGATGTTTCAATGTAAAATCTCGCGACCCGCGAGCATGCCAGCAAATCGCACGTGCTGTTCCAAATGTTCCGGATCAGTGAGCGTTAAGTACGATGCGTTAAGTATCGAAACGATCGAGGGAAAACGATCGACGCGACGCGAGCTTGTACCGTAAACGCCGAGTGATTTTTGATTAATGGAATTTCCGCCGCAGACCGGTGATAACGAGACCGTTTTCCACCGTCACGAAGAGACATTGAACGGTAAATTGCGCTCCAGATGAGCCTACGTGAAAGTAGATGGCCCATTGAGAACAAATCGACGAGAATGTATCTGGCCGTAAGATCGCGCTTATCTATTTCCTGAAGGCCTCGCGTTTTTAATTTCGCGACTCCTCAGACTTGAACTCAAGTCCCGACATCGTCTGACGATACTTCTTCGTTCGAAATCGTATATCTCTTAGCGGAATTTTTTCTCTTACCAGACGTTGCTCCTTCTATGCGTCCCTTATATTTCCGGCATTAAGGCCGGTATTCATAGTAAGATCTTATATTCAAGGCCGTCTTAAGTTTATCTTCACATGCTTCCTGAAATGACAACACCTGAAGATAAACTTAAGACGGTCTTATATGCAAGATCCGACTATGAATACCGGCCTAAATGAATAGCTTCTCAGTGAACACCAACTAACAGTATCGTAATGATACTGTGAGAAATTATTGTATAATATTGATGTAATATCAACATTATGCAATAATTTCTCACTTAACAATATAAGTGCAATATAACTTGTGCGGTATACATGGTGTCTCTGAACTTTACCGACAAACTCGCAGGAGGATAGATTCTATTCCACATAAAAAATAAATTTAAAAAGTTTTTAGTAAATATATGTCTTCAAACGCTTAGTTTCTAAGATATAGTTGCCGCAGTCTCAATTGTAGACAAAAATATTTTATTCATTAAATCGTATTTTGTAAATAAGTAACTAGACACATACTGTTGTGAAAATTGTACAAAACATGTCTACCTCCCTTATCAACGCACAATTGACATCTTTGGGGTAAAAACGCGCGTACGCCCTCGAATATTGCTTCATTATTTCTCACATTAATGCATATGCCGCAACGTTAATAAATGATTCTTCGGTTAATATCAAAATTGATAGGCATTGTCTTCAGAAACGAGTAAAAAAATTATTGTATTAGCATTCTTGACCCGCTTATAGCGACACACTCTCTTTCATCATTGCTACCTTCCGAAGGCTCTATCTAAAAACCAAACTTTTACGGATATATGTTTACCAAAACTCTTCTCCACTTATCTTTCAACGTAGAAACCTGGTCCTGGTAAATAAGTTGGTCGATAAAGTCCAGATACCCGTGCAATAATTACAATGTTGATCGGGAAATTATAATATTGTTCGTTGATGTTCACCGAGTCGTCAATGAGGGAAGTACGAGATATTTTAATTTATCCCCTCCCAATTTAAACCTCTACGAGCTTCCTCGATTCATCCAACTCCATGACAACGTCGATCTCCCGGCGCGTTCCCGGCGCAAGAAAAATAGATCCCGAAGTGGTCGAGTACGACGATCCGACGAAAATCGCAGGTGTTGCCCGCGCGCACACACACACACACAGAGACTCCCTTCTCACCCACATTCCGAAATAAGCGTTTCATACTTCCCTCCGGACACATCGTATACTTTCCTAACGCGGTCGTGCCTGAGAACCGTAGGGGAGATTTACTCGCGGAAAAATGTTTCCAAGAGCACATTCCACCGTGGCGAAGGGGCAACTTACTCCGAAGAGCCGGCCACCACATCGTAACCCGAATGCACCGAGCCGCACTCGGCTACGCGGCCGCATTCCGCGTCTCCCGCGGCACGGCGGTGCTCGAAACTGGTCCCGTCGTCATGGGCGCTCTTCAGGTACTCCACGCACTTCTCCGTCGGGCTGGCTCGCGACGTCGCCAACGCCGGACAGCCGACCACCGCGGCGACGACATCGTCCACGTCGTCGTTCGCCTCGTTTTCGCGACTCCTGAGGAAGGCGTCGAGGTAGTGCTCGCCGGTAGCGCTCGGTAGGTCGTACACGACGCCGGCTGATGTCCAGGGTGAGGGTGACACGAGGTCGCGAGGCTGCGCCGCGTCCTCGTCGTTCTGGCCGCCCTTGTCGCTCTTCCTGCCGTAGAGCTTGCGCAGGTACGCCTCCTGGTGGCCCCTGGTCGCCCAACAGCCACCTTGCCACCATCGCTTGGAGCCGAGCACGGCCGTGCGTCTCCTTCGCGCTAGGCTCGACATGCTTCCTCTTGTGCGCACCGGCCACGGGCAGCACGACGACGACGGCGGCGACGACGGCGGCGACCAACGGGCAACAACATCCGGACCCGGCGCGGACGGTGGTCGTTAAGATCGACTCCACCGGCGCCTCCCCGCGCGTCTTTCACGGTGGACCCCGGCCGACGGTAATAATCGCCGAGACCTTCTAATCTAGGAGCGCCGGCGGGGTCCTCTCTCGCTTTTTTCTCCCCTTCCTCCCTCCCGCCTCTTCGCTATATTATGTCCCTTTTCGCCGTTCGTTCTCCAGCGAAAGCTAATAAGGCGACGCTTCGGGCACTTTTTGCTGACGCAGGAGCCCTTCTGCGTACGAAAACGCATCAAACTCCTATCGTGCTGGTGGCCGCTCTCTGGAGCCCCGCTTTTCCCGGTAAGAGCTCTTTCATCGGCAAGAGAGAGACAGGTCCCCCTCTGTCTTTCTTGCGTGAGTAACAATCTTCGCGACGATACTCGAGCGGGTCTCCGGCGGAGAAGCTGCTGACGAGAGCTACGCGTCGCGGAGCTTTCTCCCGTCGATGTGTCCGGCGACATCGATCGATCGACAGACGAGTAGATCCCGATCAGCACTCGACGGCGCCTCTCTCTCTCGTCCAACACCCGCTACTCTATCCCCCCCGGCCGAGCGTTTCACTTCCCACGACTTTGCGCGAACACGTTCTGACCCGTCGCTTCCCATAAGTGTGCGTCCCCTCGTCTAAGTCGCGGTAATGATAGAGGCGTCCTCCTCCGTAGTGGTTCTGTCCGTCATGCCGAGCCGTCCCAGAGAGCATTGCGTTCGGGCCTTTCCAGAGGCGCCTCAGTGCAAGACAGAGACGTCCCGTGGAATAAAGATGTTCTCCCCGGGCCGATGTGAAGGCCCGCGATACAGAGTCCACGAATCAGACGCGTTTCAGAGGTGTCCTGCGGAACACAGGTGTACCGCGAAACAGAGGGACGTCTCGCGTCGCGATTGAGTCGCCCCGCGCCTCGGACGGCGGCGCGGCCCCAGCGAGAATGGAGGACTCAATCGCGGCTCCGCGTCGCCGCTCCGTGTCGTCGTCGTCTCGCCGACGTCTCGCCGGCGGCAGCGTCGTCGTCGGAAGCATCCCGCCGCCCGTTCGACATCTCTCGATCGGCACGCGCTCGCGAAACGCCAACTCGCCGCCTCAGGTCTTCGGGCGAAAAGGCCGAGGAGGAGGCAGGCGGTAGGAAGAAGGACGCGACGGGGGGACGGGGTGATCGGAGAGAACAAGGCGGAAAGGGAGAGGATCGAGTGTGCTCCGGCGAAAGCGGTCGCAGGTAGGAGGAAGGGAGCTCGAGAGGGGGAGGAGGATCGTGTGAGATGAAGAGAGAGAGAGACGGAGAGAAAGAGAGAGGGTGGGTGAAGCGGAGGGGTGAGGACTAATCTGTACGTATAACCGGTAGTACAGTGCGGATTAACGTTTTAATATGCGACACGTATCGCGCGGTACAAAGGCGACCGACGGGCCCGGATGCCGCGCGATCTCGAGAGCTCTCTCGACCGATGCGGCGCGCGCGAATGACAGTCGCAGAGATCGGGAGTGACGATCCGCACACGTCCGCGTCACTCGTCGGTCGATCCTTCGGCAGAATTCTCGCCGGGGACACCTTTGCTTCTCGGCGAGACTTCACCTCGCCAGCCGGCACTGTTCCCGGAGCACTGGGAGCCGACGGGCCCCGCGATCCTTGGTATTCGATCGCGACCACAGCACGCACGCACGCAACTTCTCCTCTCTGGGAAACGCGAGGAGCGCGCGAGGGCAGTAAAACCTCTTGGAAGCGCGTCCTATCCCTCGTTCCGCCGGCACGGGGCGTGCTGAGGCCGAGCGGACACTGAGCATACTCTGGGACTCTTCGGGCCCCCGTGCGGGACGTGCGGGAGGGGGCAACGCTGGGGCCCGCGAGCGAGTGCCAGCGTGAGGAAGGAGGAACGAGCGAGGAGTCGCGTCGGTGCGTGTAACTCCGACGTTACCAATACCTGCGCGAACTCTCCCTCTCCTTCCACCACGTGTCTGTCTCTCTCTCGCGCGCTCTCTCTCTCGCGCGCTCTCTCTCTCGCGCGCTCTCTGTTTCTCGTTGCCTCTGTCTCGCTCTTCCTCGCTCTCTCTCTCTTTCTCTCGATATATTTATATTCGTTTCTAATACGTGTGGCGTGTCGGGGCCCGACGCCTCTCGTCGTGGGCCTTCGTCGGGGTACGCGAGAGAGAGAGAGAGAGCGCGCGGGCCCGCGTGTGCGTGCCGCGCGACGGGCCTCGGGCCCTCGAGCGGGCGAACGGAGGACGCTCTGCTCTGCTCCGCTTCGCTCCTCTGTGTTTGCGAGAAGCCACTTCTACAGGGAGCCACCTCGGCGACGACGTCATTCGAAAAGCGACGCGCGCCGCTTCTCCTTCTGCGCAGTAACGCGCGTCTCGCTCGCATCCGTCGCGATTATCGCGGCCGCGGGATTAAAAAGTAGAGGCGCTTCTGCCAGGCGATAGCGGACGTCGCGCATCACGCTCTTTAATTGCCGCCGATCACAAGATCCGTGCGAGAGAGAGAGAGGGGGAGAGAAAGAGATCAACGTAAACGCACTAATCGCGTACTTGCGCATTTTTATACTAATTCCTACCGCAATTAAGATACCACTAATGATGCCGATAACTCCTCGTCAGCCTCTCTCGATCTCCATCCTCATTCCTAAGTGGCTTCAAAGTGGACTGAAGAGAGGATTTACCTTCATTTCACGCACGATAACAATTTTAAAATGTATCTCGCGCGCAATATATCTCGTGCATCTTTATCTGTTGCCGTTCCGGAAACCTCTTAAGTACATCGTAAGTTGTGCACCCGTGAATGACCGTAATGTCCTGAATTTAAGGGAGTAACATTGTAATTACAAAAATGTGAAATTAATATTTCCGGACCGTCTGTTAACCTGAGAAAACCCCCGCCTAAGTCTCCTTAAGCGAGCCGCCAAAACGGGGTCCCATTTTCGGGGGTTCTAAAGCTCCCGATTTAGCCGGGCCGTTCTTTCGATCGGCGCACCGGCGTTCGGATCCAATAAAAATCAATGATATCTCGCTCTGATCCTGCCCGGACGTATGAATCCCGCAATCGACATTGCGGAGGAACCTTCCGGCCGGTTCATCCGTCAAACATCAGCCGCTGTTGTTCTTGGGGGGATATCAAACGAATAGAGACGGAGATCGGAATTCGACGGCAGCCCACCCAACTCGAGGCTCCTGCTCCTCGTCCGTTAAATCATCATCTTCTACTTTTACATAAGTCTCGGCTGTTCCAACGGCGCCTTGTACCAATTCCTCACACGCATCATCACGATAAGCCCGCGCCTCCACGTTAACGTCTTTATCTAATGACGTACACGAGCGATAAATACTCGTGTTCTCCCACACACACTCTCCCTCTCTCTCTCTTTCTCTTTTATTTTTCAGAATTAGGCGTGTCTGTCGGACGAGTTTGGCAAGTCGTGTCGCATCTTAATGAGGGATCCCGATAATACGCGACACATAACAGACGGGTGCGTCTATATTTATAACAAATCACGCGATTCATTAGCCGCTCGTCATTTTCAACACTGCGCGTTGATACCATCTGTATCTTTATTTGTTGCATCGTACCTCCTCCTCGTTCCCACGGGGCTTGGCCCAGAACAACAAAGTACCCTACCTATTTGTCTATCTATCCATCTATCTATCTATCTATCTATCTATCTATCTTTCACATACTCGAACGGCCAACAATGCTGAGCGTAGGCCACGCTTCTTCCTCTCTTCGTCTACCTAGCCTGCTACACGCCGTCTGTCTGAGAGTCGAGGATCAACATAATCGACCGGCAGGAACGCGAGCACGCGTCGCGGCACTGGTGCAACGGTTTAGCGCCGTGTTCCGATCGCGTCTGTTCTCTGTAATAGAGGCGTCCTCCATGGAGACGGAGCGCCTTGAAAAACGGGGGGAATCTGCGGTTCGAAGAGCTTTCTCTCTTTTTCTCCCCCTCTCTCTCTCTCTCTCTCTCTCGTTGAATTGTGCCCACGTACAATGGGGCCCATTCGTGAGGGACATAACGCGAAGACCCGTCCGTGCGCGACACGCCTCCTTCTTGATGCCCTCGCGGCCGGACCCTCCAGGAGGATCGTCGTCCCTTAAGCGGCCGGCTCGAGGTTTCCCGGACGGTGTCGATGGTGATCCCGCAAGAACTGTCGCTCGCACGCGAACCGAACGATTTCGCTGGATGCGCAATGAGCGGCGCCCGGAATGTCACTCGGCGTTAAGGTGAGACTCGGGGAGGAGGAACGCAGAGGGGGACTCGGCGCGATTCCGCTCGGACTGCGCGATTCGAACACAAATGTACGCGCGCCGCGTGTGGGTCTTATCGGCGGATACGTCCGACGTGTCGCATACGACGTGTCCGACTTCGGCACGGCGAGAGGGCTTTCATTAACCCCGGAGAACGCGTGTTACGAGACTACTTGACCCGGCCGAGTCGTGGGCGTAAATGTTACACGCCCGCTTCGCTTTCAATTAAGCTCGATTTTCCACTGCACGGACAGTTACGACCCTGTGTCACCGGATCCCCTTCGGATCGCGTGTGCGCGCGGATCAGCGCGACTGTGACTGTGCGAGTCGAAATCCTAGTCATAGTCCTTTAGGTCTAATTCCGTTCTAACTTAAGTGTTCTCCTGCCCGAAATTTCAGTTCTACTTTAAGGCCTAGTTGAAGGTATTCATAGCCGGATCTTATATTTAAGACCATCTTAAGTTCATCTTGAGGTTTTTCGTAGCCAATGGTACGAGTCGTGCAGCATCTGAAGATGGACTAAAGGAGGTCTTAAATGTAAGATTTGACTGTGAATATGGGCCTGAGTCTAATTTAGTTTTATGATACATTAAGCGTTCAAAGGTCGTTCTATTTTGGTGTTACAAATGGCGAAGTTATTGCCGTTTTCTCCACTAGAAGACTTAATGTAGAACGGAGATTTCGACTCCGGAAGACGAAATTCCCTTTGTAGCTTTAAAGGAACGCATATAATATTATGTTCCTTCGAAGCTGCAAGTGGGAGGAACTTATTTACGTCCGAAGGCTTTCAACGTAGAATTTGGAATTTCGACTCGGGTACTTTCACAAACCGTCTCGCACTTCGTTTAAGGTCAATAA